CGTGGGAACCCAAATACCAGTGTTTCTTTGAGACAAGCACCAGCTAGTTCTCAAAGCAGTAATTTATAGCCGAGACTGGATCAGACATGGCTGGACCAACAAGCTTCACTATGAATACAGTCCTTATGACAACAAAAGCCACGCGGATTACCCACAATCAGTATTTACCACACTAAACACGATTAAGATCTTTCTGGCGATCACATTATCTGTGGCCGCACACCCATACACAACCCGGACTTCTGCGGTTACAGAACAGTTACTCACTTCTAAAAGACCACAACATTACCTATCTAGACTCTTAATCTCATGACGTTTGTCAGAATGAACACTTGACAGGGTTTTATAGAAGTGCAACACACACTTGAACCTACTGAGAATTTTATTTTTGCGGACAAAAGAACAGGCAGAAACAGCTACTTACTAGACCCCCACAAACCCCCAGCTCATCCTTCAAGCTGGAATGAGATGAGAGACGAGCTGAACAAAAGCAGTCTGCCAACACACTGTCATCTGATACAGAAGGGGGAGCTTGCATGGAGAGCCAGGTCACTCTTTTTTGGGATTTGATGATTTGGTGGAGAACCTTTCACATTCTTAGAAACTTTACATTGCATTCTAATAAGAAATGTACTGTTAAATTAATTCTGTAGTACTGTAAAAAGTTTTTTTCAATTGAATAAATGCATTCGACTGTTCATTGTTGGATCCTTGTAGAAAAATAGAGATTAATGTTTGTGGTTTTTAAGGATTTAACAAACTTAATAGACAGTTGAAGTCAAAATTAATAGCCCCCCTGTTTATTTTTCTGCACATTTCTAAACATAATAGTTTTAATAACTCATTTAAATAATAACTCATTCTTATCTTTGCCATGATGACAGTAAATAATATTTTACTTGATATTTTTCAGGACACTTCTATACAGCTTAAAGTGACATTTAAAGGCTTAACTAGGTTAATTAGGTTAACTAGGCAGGTCAGGGTAATTAGCCAAGTTATTGTATAGCGATGGTTTGTTCTGTAGACTATCGGAAAAAAAAATAGCCGATAAGACTTTCTCAAGAAGAAAAAATATTATAAGACATACTGTGAAAATTTCCTGAATCTGTTAAACATCATTTGGAAAATATTTAAAAAAGAAAAAAAAATTAGGGGGGGCTAATAATTCTGACTTAAACTGCAGGTAGAAAATAATAAAATTATTTTAGCATTACTTAAAAACACAAGTTTCCCTGAATAATAGTAATTTACTCTGTGGATTATTAGAGTAAATTTCAACTTTAAAAAAGAGGTTTGACAAACTTAAAACTACAAGTTGAAAACTGCTAAAATTGATTTGATGTTACTTGAAATTGTAAGTTGAGAACATGTGAAGTCTAATAAAACAAACTGAAATAATTAAGTTTGAAATACTCAAAAGGCGAATGCAAATCGTTGCCTCATTTTTAAGTAAAATATACACAGTATTTTTTTACAGTGTAGGGTAAGTTCCTTATATGATTGAAATGTTCTTTACACTACAAAAATGTTTTTTAAGAAGAGTTCACATAATATTCATTGGATTTGCTACATTTTAAGGTAACTGGTTGCAAACAATTTATTTGGGCTAAATTTAAACAAATTACATTTAGTAATCCTGAACCTCATTTGTATGTTAAAATTTTGTCCATAAATTGTTTGCAACCAGTTACCTTAAAAAATGTAGCAAATCCCAATGAATATTCCCTTCCAGCCGCAACCCAGTAATGTTAAACACCCATACACACACAACCACTACAGACAATTTGTTTTATTCAATTCACCTATACCACATCTTCAGATTGTGGGGGAAACCAGAGCACCAAGAGGAAACGCACAAACAAGGGGAGAACATGCAAACTCCACACAGAAATGCCAACTGGGACTCGAACCAGCGACCTTCTTGCTGTGAGGTGACATTGCTAACCACCATTGAGCCACCGTGCAGCCCTCAATCTTTTCAATGTTCTCGTTTAATTTTGATCACTATTTAATACAATGAAAACATATTTATCTGTTGTGTGGTTGAACCAGAGGTTAAAACCTTTCACAAGTATCAAAATTGACAAAAAGCTTTCCAGAAACGTTAAACGAGTCAACAAAAACGACTCTCTTTTCCTCCGTTACATGTTTTTGTTATGGTTTGTAAAAGGAATCCTACCCCCAACCACCAATACCAGTTTCTAAAGAGAAAACTGTTTTTATACTAAGCGTTTTGCAGATGTTGCTTTGGTGTATTATCCACTTCAGTAAAATCCATAGATTTTTAGTATGATTAAAGTGTTTGCAGTTTTTGTGGTCAGTCTACACAATCAACAGGATTCCAAAACATTCAGGTGTGAAAGGGACCTGCTGTTCAGTATCAGTCTAGTGAAAGTGTGGGAAAGGAAACGGCAGTGCAGATTTTTTCCAGTCTGTCACCGTCCCAGCTCAGCATTACTGACTTCAATGGAACCAGAGGGAAAGAGTCCCAGTCACTCTGGATTTATGAGGCAGGGCTGGAATTTAGGGGAGCGTGTGATACACAGCGGCCAAATCCCACAAATCCCCTTCAGTTGGGCTCTTACAGAGATTCTGATGGTTGCAAAAGTGGATCCATCACAGATATACAGGGTTGTTTTTCTAATCTGATAACAACTGATAAAAAGGTCTGAGGTCTTGTGATATATAACGCAGGGCCATTTGCTTTCTATTCGCACCTACTCAACTAAAGAAACATGTGGCGGTGCCAGGCTCCACGGGCTCATGCTTTTTAAAAGGGGTCAAAACAGATATATAAGAGATAAAAATCCAAAAAATATTATTTACTTTTCCATGTGGTTGCAGATAAGAAATGTAAATTAATATTGGGACCATACTAAATACAATGAAATGACTGAAGAATTCATTTTTGAGGAATTTTAAGATCCTCTGCGCTGATTTTAAACCTTTTCAATGACATCTGAAGGAAAACTAATACTTTTAAGAAAGCAAAGACCTATGGAAATACAGAGGAATGTACCATTATTAAAGTTCTGGGCATACCAATATCTTACACATTATAAGGATTTACAAAGAATCATGGAGTATTCAAGCAAATAATTCAGCTTAGAAATCAAAGGAATAAATATAATTTCAAAATATATTCATATAGTGAACAGTACTTTAAACTATTAAAGACAATTTTTTTTAATTGTGTATGTTGGATAATATAAATGCAGCTTTAGTAAGCAGAAGAGACTTCTTTTACAAATAATAATAATAATAATATAGTATTTTCCCCAAACTTTAGACCAATAGCTTGTTTTTATTCAATATATTTGTCTTGCCCAATAATGCTAAATGCTAAAATCTCAAAATTAAACTAAATTAATTAATTAAACCAATCTATTAATAAATCTAACAGAATTAAAGAGAAATTGACAATTAAATCTTAATAACAATACTGTTAAAATAAGAATTAAAATAATAGAGCATGCAGCCATTACATTAAATTAGGCATGGGACAATAACCGTTTTCAAGGTATACTGCAGTTTGGAAAAGTCAAGGTTTTAAAAGAGTCAAAATTTTCTGTTATACCGTTCCTATGTAAGACTTTTTATTTACTTATTTGTTGTTGTTTTTAGGACAACAGTATCTCCAGCAGAAAAGATATCCAAAGATGTTTTAAATTGTAAAGAAATCAATGTGTTTAAAACTAACGAAGACAGCAGAAGTCAATCATTTATTTGAATTATTTAGCCTGACACGTTTACTGCTCCAAAATGTTTCAAATGTAACTCAAAATAAAAAATATATTGGTTTAAAAGGGAAAAAGTTTTATTTTTTTACCCAGACATTTAAAAATAATATATTTTAGAGCAGTAATTCTTATCCAATAATTCAGATCCAGTAATTCTTATCCAAAATGTTTTAAATGTTACTTAAAATAAAAATATATTGGTTTAAAAGGGAAAAAGTTTTATTTTTTTACCCAGACATTTAAAATAATATATTTTAGAGCAGTAAACATGCCTTCAAACCGTGATATTTTTAATCGAAGGTTATCATATTGTCAGAATCTTACACCGGCCCATGCCTAAATCAAATCCTAGTATACTGCTGTGCTGACGGTTCTCTTGAGATTTTCCTATTGAATTTTAGAACTTTTTTTTAAAATTCACAATTAAAATCAAGTCAGTTGTAAATATAAATTTGACATTCTGCAGTATGAATTGAATTACACAAATCCGTCAAAATTCGCTTTCTAAACAACACGGTGTGGGTAACCCTTATGTGCTGTTGGGGAATGTTTTCACCCACTTCGAAACTTTCTCTGCGTTGTAGCAAATGAACTGATTTTTGGTGAAAAATCTTATTTTGACACATATTATGGAAGATGTTTTGAAAAGTTTCAAAAATCAACAAATTACACTCTGAGCAAATTTACTACCCTTTCATTATGTTTGTGGCTGTTTTTGTCCCATTGACATCCATTTTTGATTGCAAAGCCATAACACCACATAATCATGATCATAAAATTTAAATAATAAGCTCAGCGTTGATATAGCAAACATAGTGTGAATACATGCACACTATAGTTAGTATTTTTACTTTATAGAACTCTATATAAAAGCCAGAAATATTTTTTGCACAGACCTACATAAGGGTTAATGGTTCCAACTGAGGATCAATAGTAAAAATGACAAACTGTACCTCTTCCCAACAGAGAAAAACACCAACAATCAATGTACGATTATATGCTGTTATGGCTTTGCAATCAAAAAATGTTGTTATAACGGAAGTCAATGGGACAAAAAAAGCCACAAACATAACAAAAGGGTAGTCAATTTGAACAATACATAAGGGTTAACATACAACAAACGACCTAAGAATTTGTAAAGTAATAAAATCCCACAGGAAAAAAAGAAAAATGTAAAGGAACCAACAGATAATAGTTTTCACAAAGTTATGTGTTCTGGCTAGAGTACCCCTGAATCCAAAACAGACTCACATGCAATTCAGAATAAAGACAGAAAACCTTTTTATTGCAAATAAACAAACATTCTAAATAAAACACCAACAGAAGCCATCCATCAGTGATATATATAAAACAATTATATTAGGTTTATATAAATCTAGCTGATAGTAAACATCCAGAAGAGTAAACAATATGAAAGTAAACAGCTAAAGTGCTTGCTGGCTCTATAACCAACTCTAGGCACATAACAATGACAATTCACAACTATCCAACTGTTCTTCTTCCTCATTTATATAATACATCTATGGTCTATTTGGGTCTATTTTTTCTTTTTTTGCTGCTTGAGCATCTTTCTTCGTTTTACAATCATGTCATGGAGTCTTTCCAGTCCCTCTTTTAGGCCGTCGCCAATGATGGCGCAAGTGGGCTGCAAATGCCACGGTGTAGAGGGTCCCAGTTCGTTGAGTGCCAGCATGGTCTCTATTTGTGACAGTGGCAGAGCCTGTCTCATGTCCTGCTTGTTGGCGATAATCAGCACAGGCACTCCTTGATTTTCAGTGGAGCGGGCGATTTTATAAAGCTCAGTTTTAGCCTCTTCCATCCTCTCGGCGTCCAGAGAGTCCACAACAAATACAATCCCATCTGTACAGCGCGTGTAAGACTTCCAGAGTGGGCGCAGTTTCTCCTGGCCCCCAACATCCCAAAAATGAAACGTCACTGTTCGTGAGTCCCCAACTGGTATTCTGACTTTCTCAGCATTGAAGCCTCTGGTCGGGACGGTGTTGACGAATTCATTGAACTGCAGGCGGTACAACACCGTTGTCTTGCCTGCAGAGTCCAGACCCAATATAGCAATGTGAAGAGAATTACAGAACGGAAGACTGGATAGAAAGTTGGGTTGATCTGATATCCCGTTCCCCATTTCCTTCAGCAGTGTGAGAACATCAGAAGTTTAGGATGATGCTCCATAGGTCCAAAACCCCAACTGCGCATCCGAAGCTTGCCTAAAAGTTCATACATAGGCATATGGTGGGTTTTAAATGGAAATTAAATTATGTAATTATTGCATGTTTCTAAAAGCATAAATGATTGTGGAATATATGACAAATAAAATGAGACTTTCAGGTAAAGTTGGTTACTTATAAATACTTCTTTGATAAATTATCATAAGTAATCATTGTACTGTTAAAAGCCATTATAGCATAGCATATCCAGGGTTTCTGCAGGTTTCACCAAGTTAAATTTAAGACTTTTTAAGACATTGTAAGACCATTATGAATTAAATTTTAGACTTATACAGGGCTTAATGTTAAGGATTTTTTTCTGAATATCCCAGTAAGAAAAGATTGTGATTAGCCCTATAAAAATTATCAAAATTTAATACATTTAATAATACAACAATAATCATTTTGTTTGAGGATTTGTTAAGAAATTTTCCAATACATCCATTCACAAACCCTACAACCCTTAACAAGAACAGAACAAAACATAGCTGTCAATGACTTCAGTCTACAATAATAATAATTTAATAATAAAATTATAGGTCAGGTCAGTATCCTCAGCAGTAATCAAATGCTATTTTTAAATAAAAACTTTTATTGAGATGGATTGTTGGTGATTGTATGCGTGTTAATGGCCAGATTGGGTAGCTACAAATGAACAATGGAAAATTAAGGCCTGTTAAAAAAAGATTTAAGGCCGACAACACAATATTTCTGTAGATTTATTACTTTTTAGGGCCTAAAATGTAGCTTTTGAGATTTTAGACATTTAAAGACTTTTTAGGACCCGTGAATACTCTAATATCATACATTGGATATATACAACATTTTAAAACAGCTGTACGTGCTGGCCAGTAGTTGGCAATGTCTTATTGTGAAGAAACATCTGCAAACACACTCCTAGGCCCAATCCCAATTCTACCCCTTAGCCCTTCCCCTAGTTGGGTAAAGTGTGAAAGTTTCACAGAATGCATCATCTACAATGGCAACATGGCTGCACAATCGAGTCAGAAATGTTTTTTTATATATATTTTTTGGCACTATTAGGAATTTTTACAATAAATGAGCATATGTTTTTATACATCATGTTTTACAGTTATGCTTTATAAAAAAATAAATAAATAAATAAATAAAAAAACCTTAAATTTCACCACCTGTAACAGTGATTCTCAAACACCGGGCTGCAGACCAGTACAGGTCCTTGGATCATTTGGTACTGGGCCGCACAAGAAATTCTTAAATATTTCAGTTTTTTTTTTTATATCTGAGTCCCAACAATATTTAAAAAATCGTTTATTTTGAAAAATGACCGTACTCTCACTTACATCTTGGTCACTTGAGCGGTCAAATTTAACCCACAAGCAGCAAAACGAGTAAGAAACAGACATCTTTGGAAAGTTTCTTTGTTAAGGGAAAAAGGCCAAGTGAAGGACCTGTAAACTGTCAAGGAATGGATTCACAACCCATTTGTTAACAAATCAGGAGATCTCCTGAACTGCTGGAGATCGCAAATGAAGGCAGCCTTTTAACGGCTGTTCGCATATCGTGTAATTTCATGCAAGTTTGTTATTTCCAATGGAGGTGCGTGGCTTTTTTTTATTACAAGCATTGTTTTGTCAGCTTGTTATCCTCTGAGAAAACGGTTGATATCTTGTGTTTACATAGATAAATATGGCCACGATGTAAATGAGCTTATTGTCATAAGGTATTATTATGATAACATGATATTGTTGCCTCCGGTGATTTCCTGAAAATAAATACCAAACAATAATGCAACTGGAATACAGCAGTCGTCGCCGTCATCGATCTCATATGATTTAAGAGATCACGATGATACATGATGACGTGTGTGCGGGTGTTGTAGCGATGTCCCATTTCTCACGGTTACATTTGAATAACTTCTCCTTCACACTGTTTCATGGGGTAGGGGTAAAAAAAATATTTTATTGGGATTAAGATGTGAGTCCTAATCTGGGGGCTGGGTGATAAATCAAAATGAAATCAAAATGGAAATTTAGCAAAAGCTGCAAATGTCATGCACACTTAAAATTTCAGTATCGATCGGTACCGAAATCGATACTTTCGACAACCCTATTACAACACGGAGCTGTAGTTCACAGAGTAACTGCGCAAACAGTTGCCATTATTGCAGAATGACCCTCATTGATTTCACTATCAAAAGATTAAATCATCTGCCATTTTAAATGCTGTATTGTGTAACTTGTCAGTGAACATTGACTCTGTGTAGTAAATGCTGCTCCATTTGAAAACACCTCCTAGAAGTTTACTACGGTTTACAGTTCTAGCTTTACTTACCAAATGTGCATGAAAAAGCATCATCTTCAATTAAACCACCAGACATATCGGACATATTTGTCTTAGTTGTAAATTGCTTTCATATGCCTAAAAACTTAATACCTATAGCGTCAGAGTTTTCGCAAAATTATGAAAAGCACTGATGTCAAGCCAATGAACAGCCTGTATGGAATAGAAAGTTTTCCATTATGTTTTAAAGTTAAAAAGTTTAGTTGTTTTGTAAACGTATCCTAACTTGATAGAAGGGTTCCTGCAGATTATTTTACAAGACATTATGAGCTAATAATTGAATTAAATTAATTACTTAAAGGGAACACAAACCCTAATATGCTCTAAATGTATAGGAGGAACACAATGAACTGTATTAGCACACTTGAGAGTAAAAAAAATTAATTCTTACCCAATATCAAGTCAAGAAGATATTTTGAAAAATCCTGTAAATTGGTAGCCATTGATATCTATAATCTCTAAAATACTGAGGAAGTCAATGGATACCGGTTTACAAAACTCTCCAAAATACCAACAAAACAAAGACACTCAAAACAGGTTTGGAGCCAGAGGACGGTAAGTAAATAGTGGGAGAGTTTTCATTTTTGGGTTAAAAATCACTTTTAAAAAGATAAAGATAACTCTTGGACACAAGAATATATATATATATATATATATATATATATATATATATATATATATATATATATATATATATATATATATATATATATAAAAAAAACTATTAAATGTATAGTCTGATTGTGACATTTCCTTTTTATAGCATTATTGTCTTGCTTCTTTTCCAGTGAAAATGTCTAATGATTCTTAAATAAAAATACATTTAATTAAGAATGAACGTGTTTTTTTCTCTTTGAAAGGGATGAACAATTGAGGTAGTTAATAGAATACAACCTAATAAAACAAAATTCACACACCACAGATATATTTGTTCATTTAACCGAAACATAATTTCTAAATTCTGCCAATCAATTTAAAAGTATCCTTGTCTAAAGGATGTTTACATGAAAAGTTCAGATCCAAAAACCTCTAAGTGCCATCTAAAATTTCCATAGAAAAATTAAGTTTTCTCAAACTCCTTTGTTTATGTTGACATATTTTACTTTAAAGAACAGGAAAAGGACTTATTCTTTGCCATAAAAAGTGATATTACAGAACATAAACAGCAGCCTGATAAAAATGCTAATTTTAGAGGAAAACTTCAGACGGTATTAAGAGATTTTGCATTTAAACTCTTCATATATTTGCATTAAAAGCAGAAATACTTTCAGATAGTCCACTGAACAACAATTCTCGAAAAGGAGAGCATATCAGAGACACAAATGCGAGATTGTTGACTGTGTAACGTTAGAGACACAAGAATAAAAGCTCTTAAAATTCAGCATATCTTAGTGGTGCAATATTTCCTGAGAAGAGATAAATGGGGTGGTCTAACAATAAAAGTGAACGTGATAAGAGTTGTGCTGACGCAGCTTCTATGGAAATCACTCGCGTCCACCTGTCGAATCGAAACTTTTCTAACTAAGCCCAAAGTTCAGCCAGATATTGCTTTTATCGAAAACAAAACAATTACAATAACCTTTAATCATCAAAATTAAAAACAAAAACTAATCGTTACGACAGTAGCTCCCGATGGAAAACGTCTGAATTGTGAGTTTTGCTCGCATGAACCACAGCCTCGGGATAGTATAACGAATTAATTATTCATGACGCGATGACAAAACTTGCTTTGGCCAAAAGTCAAAAGAAGTCAACATTCCCAATGCACAGTAAAAGGTTCAAAACCAAACTCTCGTTACAGTCAGTCGCCCATTCAACTTACCGTTCAGACGTCATGCTCGGTTAAAGCCTGGTTTATAATCGTCATTCATTGCTCTGCGTGCTGCTGCTGTGCTTGTGCTCACCGACCGAGAGCGCGCCTGCACGCACACGCACGTAGCAGCTCATTTGTTTACCTTTAAAATGATTGGTCAGGGGAGGTCATGCGCGCATAATGAATACAAAAGAGACGCGCTGCATATCTGTGTAGGCTAAATGATCGTCTGTACTATTATTGTTATTATTTATTTTTCCTTTGTATGTTATCTTCACACTTAAGATATATAATTGTCCTATTTCTCTGTTAGTGTACAAGGTTGAAACTAAAAGGCATGTAAATTCTTTATTTTGCCTTTGCTTGTTTAAAAACCAACGCATCTTGTTAGTTTTTAGGATTCAAAATCCTTTTTTCTTAGTTGAAATTTGTTGAAGTGTCTGCTTATATGTCTTAAGTTTATAAATCCTCACCTTTTCTAATCCTAGACCTCATACTTTCTTACATATAAAGTGTTATATTAATCTGTAATTGGATTTTTTATTGCAAATACTGTATATTCTCTAATAAACATAAAATAAAATATCTTATAACTTAAAAAGATCATCTGTGTTGCATACTACTTTGTTTTAAATATTTTAATAAGCAGAACAAACATGTGTAATTCAAATAAAAATAAAATAAATAAACAAATAAAGGACCAAATGAATGAAAAAATAAATAAATGAATGAATAAATGAATAACAAATGACTAAATGAATGAATGAATAAGTAAATGAATAAATAATGGATAAATTAATAAACAAATAAATACATAATTAAATCAATGAATGAATGAATAATGAATTACTGAATGAATAAATAAATCAAGAAATATATAAATAAATTATGAATAAATGAACAAACGAATAAATAAATGAATACATAATTAATTAAATGAGAGAATAAATAAATAAATGAACATAGATTAATGAATAAATAAATTAATTAATATATATAAATGAATGAATGAATCAATAAATAATAAATGAATGAACGAACGATTAAATAAATAAATAAATAAATAAATAAATAAATGAAAGAATAAAAAACGAATTAATTAATTAAAAAAATAATTAATAAATAAATAAATGAATGAATGAATAAATAAATAAATGAAAGAATAATTAAATAAATAAATAAACGAATGAATAAACAAACAATTGAATAAATGAATGAATGAATAAATAAATAAATAAATAAATAAAAGAATGAATAAAAAAATAAATGAATGAATAAATAAATAAATAAATAGAAGAATGAATAAATAATAAATGAATGAATGAATGAATAAGTTAATAAATTATAAATAAACGAATAAATAAATAAATAATTAAATGAATGAATAAATTAATAAATGAACACATGAATGAATAAATAAATAAATATATAAATAAATGAATGAATAAATAAATAATAAATTAATGAATGAACGATTAAATTAATTAATAAATGAATAATTAAATGAATGAATTAAAAAAATAATTAATTATTAAAAAATAAATTAATAAGTAAATAAATGAATAAATAAATGAATGAATAAATAAATAATGAATGAATGAATGGGTTGCGGCTTGAAGGGCATCCGCTGTGTAAAAACTTGCTGGATAAGTTGGCGGTTCATTCCGCTGTGGCGACCACAGATTAATAAAGGGGCTAAGTCGACAAGAAAATGAATGAATGAATGAATGAACGATTAAATAAATTAATTAATAAATAATTTAAATGATTAAAAAACTAATTATATAATTGATTAATTAATTAATAATAAATAAATTAGGTGAGGCAGTGGTGCAGTAGGTAGTGCTGTCGCCTCGCAGCAAGAAGGTCGCTAGGTTGCTGGTTCGAACCTCAGCTCAGTTGGTGTTTCTGTGTGGAGTTTGCATGTTCTCCCTGCCTTCGCGTAGGTTTCCTCCGGGTGCTCCGGTTTCCCCCACAGTCCAAAGACATGCAGTACAGGTAAATTGGGTAGGCTAAATTGTCCGTAGTGTATGAATGCGTGTGTGGATGTTTCCCAGAGATGGGTTGCGGCTGGAAGGGCATCAGCTGCGTAAAAACTTGCTGGATAAGTTGGTGGTTCATTCCGCTGTGGCGACCCCGGATTAATAAAGGGACTAAGCCAACAAGAAAATGAATGATGAATAAATAAATTAATAAGTTATTGATTGAATGAATGAATGAATGAATGAATAAATAAATGAATGAATGAATGAATGAATGAATGAATGAATGAATGAATGAATGTTGCTTTTGTCCACAGCCCAGCATTTTTAGAGTGCATCTGTTTGTCTGTTTATTTCTTATGCTATAAAATGTGTAATAATTTCCAACATTTTAATAACAAGACATACTAAATTGAACTAAATCTATAAAATTAACATACACTGACCTGCCATGCAGTAAATAAGATGTTTTTGTATTTCTGTTAGTGCTTACATTTTGTTTTGTCTATGTCGAACAAAAACATGCAATGCAATACTATAGTTGTTTATAGTTTGTTTGTTTGCTTGTGCAATGTATCAAAAGACAAGCTCAGAAACTAACAAGTAACAAATGTATTTACTTCTGCTTTTCCCCATACTAAATCTTCAATAGCTTAAACTTGCTTTGTCCACATGACACAGCACTACATTCTTTCTTTTGTCCTAAATGGATTCATTTCCTCCAAGAGTTTGTCAGCTTTTCTTCAACTCGGTCCATTAAAGCACTGTACACTCCTCTCCTGCGCCGATGTCTCTGTAATACAAGTCAAAAGTTTCCACAAAGGTAAATACCAGTTCAGTAGCAGAAGATCAATATGAACGTTCTGCATTTGCTCACTGTGTAAGATGCAGATTTTGGAGGCCATGGTGACTTTGGCAGTATGAGTCTTGGGTCCCATTTAAGCTCTGCAGGTTTGAAAGTGTCTATTTTGCTGATCGTGTCTCCACATGAATAGTTCAGGTCCGGATGGCTGTCAATGACTGTGGAGTTAATGTAATAAATAAGTGGGTGAGGTTTACGTTAGGCAGTGTTTGACCTTTGTTCAATATAATGGATTTAATGACTATCCATGTATTAAAGGGATAGTTCACCCAAAAATAAAGATTCTGTCATAATTTATTTAGCCTCCACATGTTCAAAACCTATTTTTTTTCTTTTGTTTAACACTAAGTATAAGATATATCGAAGAACGCTGGAAATAAGCAGCCACTGGGTGTACATGACCTAGTGTAAATGCATTTTATAGTATCACATGAGAAACAAGTCATGAAAGTGGAAGAAAGTCTGTAGAAAAATCCTTAAATGCAAAACAAAAAGAAGTTTTTTCAGCTTGTGGTGGTTTTGCACTTAGTATGAAGGAGCCATGCTTAGTCTAAATGCTTAGTCTAAATAAGATTACCATCAAACTGTTTTGTCGACTTGCTAAACTCACTGCGTGCTGACACCTTCGCATAAAAGACTGTTACGCCTGTTTCACAACACATGAACAGCGCGGCTATTTTTTTGCCATGCATGTTGACACATGCTCAGTTTGCTTTTTGATTAAACTACATTGCTTTCACCAGTGTTGATTCAGTTACACATAAATAACGTCTTGATTACCACTCTTAATAAATACACTTGCATTTAAAGTAATTCTTATCTCTAAGCATTTACTGGGGAACTAGCACGTGCCCCAGTACATGGGGTCTAGCGAAGATGCTTTTATCCAAAGAGACTTACAAATGTGGATAAAAGAGGCACTTTAAATCACCAGAGAGAAACAATATACAGATAATTAGCCATGACAAGTTTAAGTTAATAGTTTTGCAGCGCACGTGTACAGTATGTACAAAAATCATACATACACACATACATTCACACACACTACTCACTCACCCGTTTGAAGCACACTCAGAATCGCACAGTATTTACCCGGAAGCATGGAGTGTTCAAAAAGAGTGTCTGGTGCACATGGAGAGGAAAAGGGTGTGTTCTCTACATGATCAGATTGACTTCCGTAGTATTTTCTTTTCTACTACTTACTACTACAGTCAATGGCTGTTGGCTTCCAACATTCTTCAAAATATATTTGTTTGTGTTCAGCAGAAGAAAGAAATTCAAAAAAGTTTAGAGGAAATTTTCATTTTTTGGGTGAACTATCCCTTAAAGTCTGACTTCACAAGTCAGCTATCAGGTTTAAATAATCTTTCAGATGCCATAAGTAAACAAAAAATATATATATACTAAGTGAAGTTTATTCATTAACTAATTTCGAGAGGATCACGTGCTTATGATTGAACACAGCTGGTCCTGCATTAGCAAATTCATGACTCACCAATCAGACGACTCCTAAGTCACCATAAATAACCTAAGTTCCACCACAGCCATCTTCATTTTGAAGAATCCCCCCTTACCCCTACTCCTCCTTTGCTAGTTGGGTGGCATGGTGGCCCAGTGGTTAGCACTTTTGCTTCACACCAAGAACATAACTGGTTCTAGTCCTTACCAAGCCAGCTGATATTTTTGTTTATACAATCTCCCTGTGCTCCTGTGAATTCCAATTTTTTTTTATTAGCTACAACAGCAGGGGATTGTCGAGATCTACAGTACCTGAGCTCAAACTCCCCTCCCGCCCTGCAACTGGAGGGAGTCCTGGGATCTTATAAGCTCAGGACTCTCTCCTGGGACAGCATGCCAAACACACTTTATAACCAATCATCAGCTAGTGTGAACTCTGTAATCTACTGTAATACAGTCACAGTCTACAGTCTGCTATGTTTATATTCATGCTTAATAATCTCAGATGTTCAGACAGTAATTCACCTTTTAAAAATGGTTAATTGTCTTTTATGCTAAAAAAAGAGTAGTCGTGGACCCAGAAACAATACATAGGCTATTCCACATCACAATTTAACAAGCAAATTGTCAAAAAAAAAAAAATGTTTGATTACATGGATGATAATTTACACCACCATTTCTGACCCCATGTTCAATAATTCAACGACTTAAAACATGAAGTCTAAATGAAAATAATGTTACCTGTTTTTAAGCACTGTGACTTCATGCAGCCTGGATCCTTTTCTAAAGAAGTCACCATGTCTGGCATTCCCTCTTCACACTGCAATCACATGTAGAGCGTTTAATTTCTTATAAAGACTGTCATCTAGTGTTGATATAGTGCAATGCATATAATATAAATAATGATCATTTTATAAACGTACAGGTCTGAAGTTGTGAGGTTTTGGATTTTTGTAAGGTCCCACTGGATACGTCCCTCCTCTCACAAACAGCAGTTTAGTCTGTAGATAGTCTGGTGGTTTGTAGAATGTGATAAACGGTCGTTCTTTACGTCTACTTTTCTCAAGTCCAGGTAATATATCGTTCATCTTTTCCAGAATGAATGATTTTTCATCCACACTATCGTTTGCTTTAACCAGGTGGATGTTTTTGGTCTTGATTCGTGGCAAGCACAAGGATGTGTACAGTTTTGGGGTGAAGTCAGGGGCTTTGATGCACCATGGATCAAGGGGAACTGCTGGATGTGGTGGGATGGGTCCACAACTCCGGCTTGAGATTAGGTTTTGACTCACAGAAAAAAGCAGCTTTCTTCTAAGGTCAACAGACATGGTACTGTCCAAAGGCTCAGGAAGATTCATTGTGGATATATACTGTATGTACAGTATACTGTAAGAATAATACATAAAAAAATGTTTCATAATGCTTTCAGACCACCAACAGTTCATTATAATAAATAGATTATATAAATACAATTAAAATGATTACATAAAGTAAGTAAACCCATTCCCTTAAAAAAATGACACGTTGATTTTACTTTAAAAATCTTCAGTAAGTATTTTTGTTGTAATGTCTCTAAAATTCATTTTTATAATCATGCACATTTTATTTACTTAATAGTTTGAAGGCAATGAGTTTACTTGTTTATTTAACTATTCACTTTTTACAGTGTATGCAAAATGAAAAGGGCAATTTATTTAAATGTAATTACATAAAATATACTAAAATATATAATTAAAAAATATATATATAATAACATGACTATTAAGAACTGTTAGCTAACTAAATAAAAATATTGAAGAAAATGCAAATACATTTTTAAATGAAACAAGACTTTTTTCTAGTTGACATTTCAAAGAAAATGATTATTAAATTAAGGAAAACCTTCATTTTAATAGCAATAATGCAATAACAAATTCAGTTTTACTCACAAAAAAAGAACAATTTATAACATGAGCAAAATAATCACAGCAAGAACTGTATTTATATTTTTATATATATATATATATATATATATATATATATATATATATATATATATATATATATATATATATATATATATATATATATATATATACATAAATAAATAAATATTAATAAAAAAAATTATAAATAAAATATAATATATAAATATAAAATATAATTTTGGAGTCATGTGGTATTTCACTATTTTAAACAGACATTGCAAAGAAATTAAGGTAAACTAGCTTTTTTTTAACCATAATAATGCAAAAAAAAAAATTATGAAAATACTAGAAATAATAATTATGATAATAATAAATGTTATTTATAACACGCTATTCTAAATAATAAATGTTATTTATAACACGCTATTCTAAAACCCAAAGCACTTAAGAAAGAAATAAAGAAAGTATTTACTATATATATATATATATATATATATATATATATATATATATATATATATATATAGTTGACGTCAGAATTATTAGCCCCCCTTTGATTTTTTTTTCCTTTTTAAATATATCCCAAATGAGGTTTAACAGAGGAAGGAAATTTTCACAGTATGTCTGATAATATTTTTTTTGTTTTGGAGAAAGTCTTATTTGTTTTATACTCCAACTAACTGAGTCGTGTAAAACCCAATAAGTTAAGGCAACTCAAACCGGTTGAGAAAAAAAAAACTAATCTATGAGTACTGTGAACTTCATCTATTTAAGCTAACGTGATGAGTTATTTAATCAACTCATTACCTTCAATACTGAGTTCAAAACTCTTTTCAAATGAGTAGAATTAACTTTTTGTAAATTTTGAGTTACCTACACTCATTTCTTTTGATAGAGCTGACTGTTGGTTTTACAGTGTAAGAACTTTTAAAATTAAAGAATCATTTAAACTTTACTGTAAAACTGCATAAGAAAGAAAGAAAGAAAGAAAGAAAGAAAGAAAGAAAGAAAGAAAGAAAGAAAGAAAGAAAGAAAGAAAGAGAAATCATTTGGAGCAAGAAAAATTAACCTGACATTTCAAAGCCTTACCTTTATTTTACTTCAGAGTGGCTGTGATTTAGCCATGATGACGAAGTAGATGGCGAAGAGTTCAAATTGCTGTGTTTGGTCAAAAAATTAAGCCAGCTCAGCATGCAGCATTTGATACAACAAAAAGAGGTTGCCAGGCAGCCAGAGTTTCAAGTTCTCATTCAGAGACTCTGCGTGTGGACGGAGCACAGTGGGGACATTGTTGAGGAAACAAAGAGACGCCTCAGCAACCATCTAACTATGAATTAAAGTCTATTTAAGCATGGAGAACGCTGAGAAACATTTTATTCCAAGGAACACCTATGAGTTATATTAGATTTTTTTTAAACAGATAAATCTGAAAATAATATTCTGCAGGTTTATTTGCTGTTTATTCTTTCTGAAGTTTCAGCAGTTGTTGCAGCAAATTGTAAAGCACAGCCTGTTGCATGTTTATTTATTTTTATTTTTTTTGCACTCATATTCAGCTTGATTTTGATAAATTCTGATATTCTGAGACATAATTTAGATATCCTGGCCAAAATTACTCATATTTAGTTGATGTTTTTCAAGTTTTGCAAAGAATTCAAACAAAAGTTCTAATTGTAATTGACAATCAACACCAGCAGAGGTCAGCAAATAACTAAGTTAAATGCTCTCTCAATTCAATTCAATTCAATTCAATTCAATTCAATTCAGTAATTGCTTTACTGGCATAATAAATGTAACAAATATATTGCCAAAGCATTTATAAAGTTTCCATTAAAAAAGCAACTTGATATATATTTAAAAAACACAGTAAACACTGTAATCATTTGTAGTAGTAAAAAAAGATATTTATATATAATAATTCATTCATTCATTCATTCATTCATTCATTTTATTTTCGGCTAAGTCCCTTAATAAACCAGAGATTGCCACAGCAAAATGAACCGCCAACTCATCTAGCATATGTTTTAACCCATCACTGGGAAACATCCATACACACTCACTCACACAATTTCAGCTTACCCAACTCACCCATAGCACATGTCTTTGGACTTGTGGGGGAAACCAGAGCACCTGTAGGAAATCCACAACAACACAAGGAGAACACGCAAACTCCACACAGAAATGACAATTGACCCAGGTGAGGCTCGAACCAGTGACCTTCTTGCTGTGAGACGACTGCGCTACCCACTGCGCCACCACACCACACCTATAATAATTAAATAAAAAAATATATCATATTATTCAATATATCATATTGAATGATAAACAATAATAACAATAATAAATTAGAATAAACTATACATTTAACTTCTCTTTCTCTCTTTCCTCATCACATTTATCAAAGATCAAATCTTTCAAACACATTTTATGAAACTGTAGTGTATTAGTGTAAACCAATCACAGCTCGAGATAAAGCACGGTAGCCTTTCGATTTTCTGTCATTTTATTGTAAGCTAGGCTTTACAGTATTTTCCCATTTCCATTACAGGGTTTGGGGATAGAAGGAGAAATATTTGAAGAAAACAGAGAATGGTGGATGTTGTAAATAGATTAACAGCATTTGACATTTCACTAATAAGTAAAACCTAAAAAATGACAGGGGCTATAAATAGGTTATAAGAATTTTTATTTTTATTGTTTACCTTTTATTGCCAGTTTTGTTAACAACTTTTAAGAAACTTTAAAACAAGACCTTCAGATTTTCTGTTGTCTGTGAACGCATGTAGACTGGTTTTTAGGTTGTAAACCTTTTCTGCAGTTCACTTAACAGCCACTATTCATTCATTAATTTTCCTTTCGTCTTAGTCCCTTTATTCATCAGGCGAATGAACCGAAAACTTATGTTTTATGCAGCTGCAACCCATCACTGGTAAACACCCATACACTCTCAGACACACACACACACGCACACACACACACACACACACACACACACATGCCAGACAATTTAGCTTACCCAATTTAGCTACACTGCATGTCTTTGGGCTTGTGGGAGAAACTGGAGCAGAGGAAACCCACGTGAACACAGGGAGAACATGCAAACTCTACAGAGAAATATCAACTGACCCAGCCAAGGCTCAAACCAACGACATTCTTGCTTTGAGGTGACAGCGCTATACCCACTGCACTGCCCTTACCAGCCATTATATTGCTAATAACTAGCATTTCATTCTACACTGTAAAAAATAGAGGGGTCCAGACAATTCTTGATGTTGTCAAAATGAAAACATACTCACAATTTACTCTTACCCTATGGTGGCTTCAAACCTTAATGAGTTTCTTTTCTTCTGTTGAAAACAAATAAAGATATTTTGTAGAATTTTAGAAACCTTTAATCATTGATTAATATTGTCTTTTGTGTTCAACTGATGGCAAAAACTCAGGTTTGTGATAGGCTAAGAACGTTGAGTAATGATGAGAGAATTTTAAATAGGAATTTTAAAAATTTTAAATTTAAGTAGGCCTGCTCATGTGTTTGATACTGCTCAGTAAACGAATGACTATTAGCTTGACATTGACCAGTAATATATATAAACTATAGCTTATAAAAACGAAAGATTATGCAAGCCAGAAGAGCTAAAAGAGGTCACACCTGGGTTTTATGAGGGTCAGTTTTGCTCTTAACACAAACTGCCCAAGTCACACGTCTTCGTGGTAAGATAACCAGGCTGGACATAATCTTTAGATGCACTTAAAAAAATTATTAAGACTTTATTTTGATGGTGGCTATTGTACATTTCGTTGACTACATAACTATGCCAATTATTTCTCATTTGAGTATTAGACTGTCTGCTTAATATCTGCTGTACTGCTCCTTCAACTGACATTTAACTGACAAGTACACGTCAACTTACACCCTAACCAACTTAAAGGAATCTTATAAAATGGAAAAAAACCTCACAATAGTCGGAAGTTTATCAGTATGGGAAACACTCGGCATATAGTATACGGTGGAAAATACAGTAGTCTATTCATAGTTAACCTGTAGGTATAGCGTACTTTCAAAAAAGTGATATTTATTTTTATACAACAGTTCTGTCTGGTTCTTCAATCTGATTGGCTGAAAGCCGTGCAGTAACAGCAACAGCACTCATACTGCCTAATTACCCTTGTGTATTACTCCGCATACAGCAACAATCAGAAAACACTCTACAGTTTGACAAATATTGCTGCTATTGGACGATATAATGTACTTTTGTGATTTTTAGTAGAGATTGTAGTTGTTTAGATTCAACTATGCAGTTTTTTTTAGAAGGAGAGTGCCTATTTTAAAATACTTCTAATTTCTAAGACTGAGAGACAGAGCATCGGCGGCAAGACGGTTGACGATGTTCATCCACAAGATGGCGGCAGAGACGTATAATATAAAACCTAAGAGGAAAACAGCGTAATTTCAAACTACAGCTGATCAAATGATGATTAAACAGGTAGATGACTTTCTCACAATAGATCTCTTTTGTATGCTGTAGTGATGTATTTATACCATAGTAATATTGTGATCTCCCGATTGCAACAAAGAAATACTGGAAGATATCTTAGTATACTGATAGCATTTCAGTATTTCATATTAGACATTATGCTAGAGAATCATTCAAGTACTAACGTTAGTTCTAAAGTGACCTTGGTGAAGTAGCAACGGTTTCTACTTTTCTGAGGTCAGCTGCAGATGTGAAGGAATGGCGGAAGAAAGTAGTTCCTATCACAAAAGGGTTTTTAGACTCTCAGTGTTTGATTTTTATATATATACACGAATTACGATTATGCTGTCGAACTGTTGTATAAACCAAATATCACACTCGTAGCAGTGCGATGTGGCTGTATATCGTCACTGGTGGGACGCACGCCTTCCACCAGTGCCGATATACAGCTACATCGCACTGCTACTCCAGTGATATTGCTCATATAATACATTTTCAATTAAGTGATCTGATCTACAAAATGATTAAGAACAATTTGTGTATTGTGTGTGTTTTTTTTTTTTTTACTTTTAAACAATGTTGTGCCATTACAGTGTTATAAAAATGCGTGTTCAAGGTCTGTTAAAACTTTATTTTGACAGTCCTAACAGTCTGCTACTCTCTTAAAACTTTCATGACAGTAAGTTGTGAATGTGTGTCAACAGAATATCTATTTGTAACCTTCAAAACAAAGAAACCAAACCAAAAAATTAACAGCATAAAATTTGAAAACAACATAGTGTCATAGTGTTTTCTTAAAGCATTTCATTTCCTGTTAACAACACTTTAGTTCTCTTTTATGCATTTGTGTTATTTTGATTGCTGATCACACCTTTAGAGCATGGAAAAGTTTTGCCACTGATGATTGTTCAACAATCTGCTTTTCTCATTAAGCGTCACAGTTGTTATGCTGCATTAACCCCGTTTAACCGAATCAGAGCAAAAAACACAAGGAATATATTGTGCTTTCGTTCTGTCTAATGAGCATCATTGACTACAAATATACAGTGCAGTGGAAGAACTTAATTATTTCATACAGAGTGTCAAAACCCTTCGTTGAGAAACAGATGGTGTTATACCAGAGCTCAATCTTCATCCCGTGAATGTTATTCACATCTTCTTTGAGAAGGAGTGGCACGCCCTTGATAAAAACAGTTTACCAGATGGCCTCTGGTTATGTGATTCCTTCTCAAAGTCTCGCAGGCATCACAGAGCAGATTGTGTTTAACTTTCTCAAAACAGAAATTTGCTGATTACCCTCATGTTGATATAAGCAGCTCAGCTATGGACAGTCAGTGAAGAACAATTATTTTTTTAATACACAGTAGTTTTTAATTTGCAGCTGTTGCGGAACATAAGCACCATATCTTGTGAATTTTGGAAGAATGCCACAATATTTAGAGTATGCTTAATTTCGTGGGCTGCAGCTGATTTGCTATCAAGATTACTGTAGGTGCATAATGGACCTCTTTTATTACACCATATATTAAAAATGAAAAACTGATAGTAAAAACAGATATATTTTCTGACTACAGACAATATTACCATCTGGTTCTCCGTTCAGACTGGAAGGATACATTTTGGATATCACAGGACAATAAAATTCATTATTATTGGAATTTTCTTCATCTGTGGTCAATTGTAGCTCAGGTTTCACTCTTCTAGCTCAGGTTTCACACTTAATAGTTTTTTCTGTAATATCGGATAAAATTTATACAATATTTAATAGTTAAATATACTTAAAATATA